CCATCTTCTCCAGGGTGTCCAGGCAGTCCAGGTGGTCCTGCAAGGTGAGCTTAGGGTACGAAAGTGCGATTCTATTTCCTTTCTAACCTGGAGGTCCGCGTGGGCATCCACTGGCCTGAGCAGCACATTGACATTCATCGCCACCACCGCCACCACCGCTTATTCCGCTCCATCCACTGCTGCCACCACTGCTTCCGCTCCATCCTCCTCCGCTGCTGCTGCTTCCTCCCCAGCTTCCTCCGCCAGCGCCAACTGCTCCTGCACCTTCTGAGTATGAAGCTCTCTTCTTAGTCGTCTGTGAGGCTCGTTTCTGTCTTGGTGGCTGTGCAGCCATTATTGTCTTCCAAGCATCGTCGGCGAAGTTCTATAAGCGGGGGAAATATTGGTAACGAGATCAAGCATCTTATTGAGACAACCTTAAACTGATCCAAATCTTTTTCGATCTCATCTTGGAAGCTATTGATGTCGCTAATTACGTTGTATACAACCATGCAAACGACACCCATGATCAAAGCCGTAGTGATAAATGTACCACCAATAGCATAATGGAGAAGAGCACCCATCTGCAAGTAATTTTTGCAATATAATCAAGAGTTCCAAAAATGTTAGGCAATGCCGTAATGCAACGTGAGACTGTGGTACTGAAACATATCCTTGTACTTATATACTCTACTAGGAACCGATATTACTGTAACGCTTTTGTTAGCCCTGGAACTGTACACCCGGTTTCCAGTGAATCGCGAATCCAAGCTGCAGCTGTGTGATGATAAGAATAATTAATGGACTATACGGTGCCAGACACTTCCACGTGAAATGTTCACACTTTCCACAAAGTGACTAGAAATCTTACACTTTAGAAGTCGGACACAAACAAGGTAATAAAATCTGCATGTTTATGTCTGCCAACAAACACTGCGAATGCTGGAAATGAAAATTTGAGGGCTCCCAATAGTCTGTTGTTGAGAATTGTATTTGGACAGATTTGAAAAAGGAAAACTTTCTTGACAATGACTCGGAGTTCTTGTTTTGTTCACTAATTATTGTCTCTGTTACCTGTTATTTCTACCATTCATCTCCACCACGGCTTACATGAATACTTAATGAGAATGTCTCTCGCACTTTCCTGACAAGAGAGGTCACGACGTCGAAGTGGCCGATCACTGAAGATTGCATACCATTAGTGAGAGTTGCAAGGCTGTTCCCAGTCTGCTTGTATCTGCGGAGCGCCTTGGAGAAAGAAATCAAGAGTAATTTGAGAATTGTGCTAATGCCAGAGATAAAATGAATTCCTATCCTTTCGAGACGTCAGATGGAAGAATACGAAGTACTAATATACTGTG